CCGAAGAGTGGTCATCTTCGGGGTGGGGGAGAAGGTCTGGAAGAAGTCTACTCCCTCTCGCTGACTGAAGCCTCGAGCAACGTAACGAGCCTTGAAGACAGGCGGAGAACCTGGCGGCCGCTTCACCCTGAAAACCCACATGCCACTGATGATGTTCGCCCCACGAGGGGGAACCTTGTCGACGTAAGTGCCAGTGGACTTCCTGGATGCCATCTCTGCGTCCATGGCTGACTGCCACTGAGAGGAGTACTCACCCGCGATCGCCTCAGCGTAAGAGCGCGGGGTCGGGATGTCTGGTGCATCTGGGTCTCCCTCAGGTGCAATCAGCATGGACACGAGATGAGGTATAGCAGCGGCAAAGCACTCAAACTCCTCCTGCCTGTCCTCAAGGACGTCCGTGCCAAGAGCACACTCACCCCCGACGGACGGAGGACAGACAGACTCAGACTCAGCAACAAGACTGGCAGCGTAGTCTAGACGACAGTGAGCAGCAAAGTCGACAAGCTGAGCAACTAAGGCAGACGCAGCAGCTGACTCAAAGGAAGGGTCAGTGACAGCAGTGGCCAGGAGACGCGTGACAGTAGTACTAGCAGCACGAAGAGAGTCAGTCTCCGGGTTAGCAAGGGCAGGAAGAGAGGAGGCAGGAGGAGAAGGCAAAGGGACACGCTGTGGAGCAGTAGAAAGACGAAGCGTCATCTGGTGAGTGCCTGGGACAGCAGGAGGACGCTGACGCGGGACACGACGACCAGTGCGAGCAGCACAAACAGGTGACGCAGAACGAGACTCAGGCGACACAGGACGAGACTCAGGCTCATGACGCTTCGTAAGACCTCCTGTCGGACCAGTGTAGGGAGAAGGACTAGGAAGTGGCGAGGCAGGCTGTAACTGTGACTGCGACTGGACAGGCGGAGGACACTCTAAGGAGGGAGCAGGACAAGGAGGAGGCGGCTGACCAAGAACCTGCTGAAGGAGCGGAACGAAGTACGGCCGAGGCCGTGAAGTGCCCCCAGAACCAGCAAAGACAGTACCACAACCCCCAGCAGCAGCTCCAACTTCTGCAGCACCACCAGCAGCTCCGGTAGTGCCAACTCCAGTACCCCCAGTAGCACCAGCTCCAGCCGCACCGTCGGCTCCAGCACCTGCAGGAGGACGAGCGTTAGCACCTCCAGCTCCAGCCCCTGCAGCACCACCAGCCCCAGTACCAGTAGCACCTCCAGCAGCTCCAGTAGCACCTCCAGTCCCAGCAGCTCCAGTACCGCCAGTACGAGCACCTCCAGGACCAGTGGCTCCAGCACCTCCAGCGCCAACCCTAGGGTCAGCAGCTACACCAACTCCAGTAGGCCCAGCGCCCTCAGCTCCAGCTCCAGTAGCACCTCCAGCGCCCACAGCACCACGGCGGCGGCGACAGTACCGAAAGTACCACTCACGCAGCTGCTGGGAAGAGAGAGCGCCCCCAGGCACAGCACCCCCAAGCCCAGGACCTCTAGGCTCAGCACCCCTAGGCACAGCACCCCCAGGCTCAGCACCCCCAGTCTCCGAACCCCCAGGCTCAGCACCCCAAGTCTCCGCACCCCCAGGCTCAGCACCCCCAGTCTCCGCACCCCTAGGCTCAGCACCACCAGGCTCAGCACGCTCAGTACCTCGCGCAGGACGAGAGTCGAGAGCTACCTCGACAGGCTCGACCGGGTCTACCTGGGAAACACCTGAGGGAGCAGGACCCTGGGGAGGCAGGGGGTCTACCGAAGCAGCACCTGGCGTGAGGAAGAGCGGCGGAGGGGGGAGCGGGGCAGTGCGGTAGGGGAAGAGACGGTAAAAGGGGACCGACTCGTCAAACGTGACGTCCTGAGAGGGGAAGACACGGCGCGAGGTGGGGTGGTAAAACTGCCAGCCAGGCGCGTCAGGGACAAAGCCCAGGAAGACATAAGGAACAGCGCGGGAGGAGAGCTTGTCCGCGGACGTATCGCGGACAAAGGCACGAGATCCCCAGACACGGAACACAGACGCATCACCAACCTCTCCCGTCCAGCGCAGTGTCGGCGAGGTCTCCGGAGCGGAGACACGGGGCTAGAGGTTGAGCTGATGCGCGGCGTACCGGACCGCAAACGGCCACAAAAAATGGGGGGCAGCCGCATGGACCAAGGAGGTACGAGCGACCTCCATGACCAAGCCAATGCGGCGCTCAGCAACCCCATTCTGCTGAGGAGAGGCAGGAAGCGTGAACGTCTGCTCAATGCCCTCCTCCTGACAGAAGGCCTCCAAGAGGCCGGAGGAAAACTCACCACCTCTGTCAGAGTGGAGTCGCAGGACGGGAAGGTCCATGCGAAAGCGCCTCTCCAGCTGGAGACGGTTAGCGCGGATCCAAGGGATCAAGACAGCAGGGACCTCTCCCTTGGCGCGCAAGGGGAAGACCGTGGTGTAACGCATGTAGTCGTCAACTACCAGCAGGAAGTAGCGCTCTCCGCCCTGTCCACGGACGCGGGCTGGGCCCCACACGTCCATGTGAAGGGTCTGCAGAGGAGCCTCCGTCGGAGGCAGTGACCTGGGGAGACCAGAGACAAGGAAACGAGAGTGCATGCCACGAAGGCGCTGCATCAAAGGGTGCCCAAGGCGGTGGTGCCAGAGGACCGTCCGGTGCGATAGGGTGCGACACGAGCAGGGGGCGGACAACTGACCTGACGCAGACGCAGACGCCGCTACCTGAGGGGACTCAGTGGTCAGTGTGTATAAGTCCGACCCCGGCTGCCGAGTGAAGGTAGCCAGGTGACGACCCGTCTGGGCACACGTGCAGTGTGTCACACGCTCGTAGGCAGGGGTGAACTGGTGAACACCCGCGTCCTGGAGCGCGGACCCCGCCACCAAGTTCGTAGAGAACGAGGGGAGGTAAAGGCACGACAGTGTGCCGGACGGGACAGCAGGACAAGGGAGGGCAGTGGTGGAGGTCGCAAGGACCGGACCCTCGGAGGGGTCAGCCAGAGAGACAGCAACCGGTCTAGGGAGCTGCTCTAGGGCAGTGCGGTCGCGAAAGAAACAGCGAGAAGCACCTGAGTCCAGTGTGAAGGTGTGCAGTGCCTCAGTAGACGCAGTATCTGAAGGTGCAGATTCACAAGCACCTGAAGCAGCAGACTTACGAGCGCCTAGAGCAGCAGCCTCACCAGCACCTGGAGCAGGAGACGCACGAGCACCTAGAGCAGCAGCCTCACCGGCACCTGGAGCAGCAGACTGGATACCGGGGTCAGGCGGCACACACAGGTGACAGGCTCCCTCGGCACTAGTAGACAATGCATACATTGCAGTGAGAATAGCATCATAGTCAAGAGCAAAGATATCTACCCTCTGCCTAAGCAGCTCCACCCAGTCGGGGAGCTCAGCGTCGTCGCCAACCTCTGTACGCCAAGCGTCGCTCAGACGGGCAAAGCAGCGAGACTCTGTGTGACCAGGCGTCCCGCAAGGCTGACCAGTCCGGACACCCGTGCTAATAACGTACGAGCAGCGAGCAGTACCCAGCAACCCTCTACTCTGAGCGTACCACTCACGAAGCTGCTGGGGCAAACGAGTCTCGCGCGGACGACGCTGCTGCTACACCGGGCTACTACAAGAAGCTCCCGAACTACCCACTCCAGGACGACTCCCACTACTGCCACCCCGACAACCCCAACTGGCATACCACTCACGAAGCTGCTGGGGCGTGAGGGACACACGCGGACGGCCCTGGAGCTGCATCTGGCCACGCCAGGAGCAGCAGTAGAAGCAGTAGCAGCAGGAGCAGCAGTAGCAGCAGTAGTAGCGGTAGGGCCTGCAGGGGCGGCGCGCGGTCGGGCAGAGGCTGCGCGCGGGCGGCGAGGGCCTGTATGGGCAGCGCGCAGTCGGGCAAAGGCCGCGCGCGGGCGGCAAGGTCCTGCAGGGGCAGCGCGCCGACCTGACGGGCCTGCAGGGGCGGCTCGCGGGCCTGATGGGCCTGTAGGTGGCGGCTCGGGGGCCTGACGGGCCTGCAGAGGCGGCTCGGGGGCCTGACGGGCCTGCAGGGGCGGCTCGAGGGCCTTACTAGCTTGCAAGGGCGGCGCACTGGCCTAGGGCAGCAGGAGGCAGCGCGAGGGCTGCAGGACGGCGCGCGGGCAGAACGAAGGGCGGGGCGCGCGAGGGCGCACTAGCAGAAAAAGGCGCACGAGGGCGCACGAGCAGAGAAAGGCGCACGAGGGCGCACGTAAGGTAGGGCGCACGAGGGCGCTTCTAGCGGAATAGTGGGCCCGTAGTAGTAAGCGGTCCTAGGTGGCAACCTAGGCTCGTGATACCATGTCAGAATAAACAAGAGTGATTAAACTAGGAAAGAGTTGGGTACAAGTAGGAAACCCTAAACTTACTATACCCCATAGTAACTACCCCACTACAGCCTAAACAAACTGTAGCAGATATGACATTTGACAGTCATGAGGGCCGTCGAGATGCTCAGGGTCGACGACAGCAGCGCGGCTACGTCGACGATCATTGAGAAGCTTGACTCAATAGTCACGAAGCACTCGATCAACATGCTGGCGGACGGGCTCGTTCTAAAGGAGGATTCAGTGAAGTAGCTCACGAAGAAGCGCAAAGTCGAGACAGCAGAAGACAACCGGAAGGACAAAGGTCGCCTCAGGATCACGCGGGAGCTCATTCGCGTCGAACTTCGAACCACGGAATGGGCCGAGAACGTGTTCAAAGACAAATGGAAAGAGTTCATGAAAACATTGGGCGAGAGCCCAAGTTCGACAGGCAACCGTGCCGAGGGGGGAAACTGGAGTAGGTTGTTCTTTCAGAAATTGCATGGCAGGTTTTCATTCCTGAGCGACCATCTCGTCTATATGAACCTTCTGAGCATTATCGAAAACGAAAAGTCAAGAACTGTCGATTAAACTTTGGAAACAACAAACACAACTGTCGAGAATAGCAAACACCCCCACGCAAAGTGCCCGCCTAGACTACTCCCCTTGCCCGCCCGTTTCCGTCTCAGCTGCATCCTCGTCACCCTACTTCGCCTTGCTCTTTTCTTCTGGCATTGCCAGGCTGCCATAGCCCGCGTCCTCCAGCAAGCGGGCAGCAGCTCGACAGCAGCACCATTGCGTACAGACCTGTGCTGCCACGCGCACCATCTGCAACAGGATGGCGTCTGTCGAGCCGAGACCTGCGACAGCCGACGAATACAGCTGATCGGGCCACTGCTTTACCGGGCACGTCTTGCCGACGTGCAAAAGTATGGACACGAGCGCGGCCATGGCAGCCACACAAGCCTTGGTCGCAATCTCCGGGGCGTAGAGCGCAGCGTTTGCGGCAGCTAGGGCATCTTTCTCAATATCCTCCCTCGACAACTTCCTGCACGCAGCCCACAAGCTCGCCACAGTTGCTGCGATGGCCATCATGAGCGGTGTTGCCGCCATGCCCTTTGGGACCGGATAAATCAGGTTCCCGTGCTTCATGCCAAGCGTCGCGACCTTACCAATCGCCGCGCCAGCGCGATTCCCCTGTCGGTTTCAGCTCTCACTTCCTTATTTGCCGTCGCCAACAGCGACTAGAAACTGCACATCGCAATAGATGCGTTAGCCAAGAGGCAAGAGATCGACCATAAGATCAGTCATCGCCAAACAGCAGGTTTCCAACAAAACACCCAAACATCAGAACATCGACGGAACAGTCAAACAGCATAACTTCGACAGAACTCACTCGTCGAAACGACATTCCCCTTGTTCTTGTGCCATGCTCCAAACGCCGGTTGGCATTTCAGCAGCCGAATCGAGATAGACCTTCCACTCCTCCTCATCCTGCGCCGTAAACCCTTCGTACTTCGTAAGGACGACGTCAGGGAAGTACACGCGCCATCAGATGGCCGTACAGAACTTTTGATCCTTCTCCGTTTCAAAATGTCCCAAGAACCGCTTTCTCCCGCCGACGGTCTGCTCGGAAACCGGGTTCCCCTTTCGCAACCCTAAACCCGGTCCTTTGAAGGGAGCTATGCAGCCCCTCGTCTTGCCTTGGTCGTTCGGGGGAGGAGGTGGGGTGTAACCCATCACCCTAACCTTCTTCGACTTTTCCTGTCGAGCAGCAACGACGATAGAGGTCTTCTCGACAGGCGCCTGACCAGGGACGCTGGCCAGCTTCACCACGTCAAGGCTTTCTGTCGCATGTGCAGCGCGCTTCGACGACTTCGTCGCAGCGGGCTTCTTCTTTGACGTTGAAGGGGAGCCCGGTTCGCTAAGGCAAACGTTGCCTAGGGCCGGAGCAGCGGCGAAAGGAGCAACTGGAGGGGTTGAGGAAGACACCCAACTTCCCACAAGCTCGACAGCTCGGCCAACACCACCACTCTGCGCAGCTGATGCCGCTTTAGTCTTCGACAGCAACCCAACGCTTGCCTCTCCCGCTCCTTTCCCCGCACCGCCGCCTGACGGGGTAGAGGCACCTCGCTTTCCAAGGGCTCTGTTCCCGGTCGAGGCGACGTGCTCGTTCGGGGCACCACTTTTCTCCCCCGCGACCACTCCTTTCCCACCCGTTTTCCCCAGGCCCTGCAGCATGTCCCGCATCGAAGCAAACGCATCAGGTGGAGCGATCGGAGCCGCTACGGAGGTCTTCAGGAGGGGCGACTGGTCGAGTACGATAACCTCGTTATCCTCGACGGGCTTGGCGACGGGATGACGGCCACGCGCCACTGGGGATGCAACCGGGCTGGCGACATGTCCTCCCACCGAAGAAGACGGAGCAACGGACCGCTCGTGACCTCGAGGCTCAGCCCCGCTGCGAACCCCTCCCACACCCTCCTGACGCGACCTCGTCGACGGGCCTGCTGAGCGCTGAAAACCTCTCGCCATCGATTCGGTGAGGACTTCCAACCTCCCTGCTTCGGCTTCATGGTAGCCTTCCCTCACAATGTCCTTCAGCTCCTTCATGGTCTCGGGTGGGAGGCTGGAGTAGAACATGTCCTCCTTGATGGCTCTCTCGAAACCCTTCAGGACCGCACCAACCAGCCGCTCCTCGACCTGCTTGAGCTGCTTTTCGACGGCGTCCTTGCTTGCTTTTGTGATGGCGGCTGCCACCCCCTCGATGATCTTCCCGCTCATTTCGTCGATCTTTGCCCGCGCCCCTTCCAACAGTTTCCTCTCCACCGTGACACCCTTCACAGCCTCGGCGCACTGCGACAGTGTGCTCTTCGACGACTCCGAAATCGTATTCCAGGCCGTCCGAAAATCCGCAGCAAGCGTGTTGGAAACTCCGGCTTGCTCACTGTGTTTCGCAAAGACGTCGGTGACGAGCTGCTTCTGCGATGCCTCGACCTTCTCGACCCTTTGTAGTAGCTCGACGACCTGGCTTCCGGATGCAACGGTCGCCATCGATTGGCCTGCCGTCGAAGGCCATCCGGTCGAAGGGCCCGCCTGTCCGCTGCCACTGGCCGTGCGGTGACTCCTTGTTACTGCGGCCTGTCGCTCAACTCCTCGACGATACTCCACATCAGCCTCCCCGCCCTCCTGCTCCTGCCCTCCCGCCCCACCCTCCTGCGCAGTCGCCAACCTAAACTCCTGCTGCTGCACTCCTGCCCCACCCTCATGCGCAGCCACCACACCCTCCTGCTGCTGCCCTCCTGCCCCACCCTCCTGCGCAGCCGCCTTGCCCTCCAACTGCTGCTCTCCGACCCCACCCTCTTGCGCAGCCGCTCTGCCCTCCTTCTCCTCGACAGCCTTAGTTTCCCCCGTCGCCTGCTGCTCGATTTGCTTTACCCGCTCGTCCACCCGCTCCCCGAGCACCACTCCGTGCTCCCCCGTACGCTCCATGCTCTGTCCGGCGCCCTCGCCGTCGTCCTTGACCGTTTCATCGCTCGAGCTCGAGCCGGAGCTCGATCCCGAGCTCGAGTCCTCGTGCTCGTTCGCATTGCCGCCCGGGCCGCTCACCCCATGCTGAGCTTGCCTCGATGTATCCTCCTCGATCTCCTCCTCCTCTTCGACGCGTGCCATCCCCTTGCCTCCTCCCTCGTGGTCGGCACCCCCTCCCACTTCTACTCCCTCCACCAGCTCGTCGATCTTTCTCGAAAACAGCTTGACCATGAACAACGGAAGCACACCCGGGCCAGGGTTCGTTCTCCCGAGATTCACGAGTTCGCCCTGTCGAGGCTGCAGGATGAAGTCGTCCCATTTCGACAGAATCCGGCGCACACCATGCACGACACGAGCTGCCGCGCCAGGTTCATAGGGGCTCGACAAGGCCGTCGTCGTCTGCGACAGGTACAAAACATACGTAAGCGACAGAACACATGCTCGACGAAGACATTGGTGGTCTAAGGAGAGCTTACCAGATGATCGAAACTCTCGTTCAACTCCAAACGAAGGTCCATCACGTTCAACACTTCTTGCTCGTGCTCGGTCAGAGCCTGCTGGGTCATCGCGTACTCGGCGCGAAGCTGCTTCTTCATCCAACTGCGATGCAACGGACAGTAGAGTAAGATTGTCGAGAACAGCAAGTCGACAGCAGGATGGCAAAGCGGTCACTCACACGAAAACTTCTTGTGCCAGAGAAGATTGGTGGTTCACCGCGGGAAACTTGTCTTTCGAATCGAAGTGCATCATTCGAGTTCGAGTGCCACGGTGCCTCGGAGCCAGCAGATCGTCGGGGCACGATACCACAAACAGGCTCGAGTGGGAGAACGGAGCCACACTCAGGCTGCACGCAGAGCCAATGCACGTGAGCACGGGTTCAGGGCTAAAGACGTAGCACGCAAGGCGACGGGAGAGTGTCGAACTCACGGTGTCCGCAGCAGAACGAAAACCACTTGCTTGCCGAGGAGGCTGTCGAGGTGTTTGTCCGCAAAAGCGACCGGTGTGGGACGGGCCATCTCTTCACGCGCACGCGTCGGAGTCACGATCGACACCTTGGGGAGCTGCTCGACGGACAGCAGCTCATGACAGAACAGGCTGCACGGAAAGCTAAGGCAAAGTCAGCGACAGGTAAACCGAAACATGGCAAACCGAAAATGCTCGACAGGACACGTACACGACGCCCGTAATCATCATGCTCTCGTCGAGCTCCGCTTTCGGCGCCTCGCTAATCGCATTCAGCTGGTCCTCGTACACCTCCACCTCGACCCCGCCTGCACTTAGGATGAGGCCGCGTCGAACCGTCGGCTCGTTCATGACGGGTAGGGAGGCGGGGCCCGTAGCCATGTCAGGCCTAGCAGTGGAGAGGGCGGCCGCGCAGGGGAGTTGGGAACTAGCAGGGACTAGGAGTAGGGAAGAAAAAATCGGAAACAGCAACAAAATGAGAACGCACGCAGGGTATTAGCTGTTTGCCATCCCCCCCACCGCCACTGACCAGGGGGGTGCAAGGGCGAGGTGGCAGGGCGCGTTCCGATACACGGGAGGAGGAGCTCTTCGCGGAGGCCGGCGGTGCCCTAATGGCCTCGACGTGAAACCTGGTTGTTGGTTGCATGGGGTGGAGCGCCTTGCATGCAGCTGAAAGGCCCTTTTCAATGTTCGGGAGGGGGCGTTCGACACGTCACCAAGATCGAGCGGCTAACGAAACGGGCCCGTCGAGGGAGAGAGCGGTGGAGCGCGGTGCAGATGGGCGTCGCTTCCGTCTGGCCGGCGAAATTTCGCGGACTGGTTCCGTCGGCGATGCGTCGCCTCGGCGAGGGATGGGTGGGTTACCGGACGGAACCCGTCCACGAACCGAGCGTGGGGTTGGGCTCGGCTGGGAGGGGGGCCACTGCCAGCTCGAGGGCGCGGGTTGCTGGCGTCACGCGCAGCTGGCGCCAGCTGGGGGTGCCCGTTTTCGGGCGGGAGGGGGGGGGTGGCTCCCGCCCCTCGCATGCCCCGCCACGCGACAGCGGGAAAATAAAAAATCCCTCCGAGGAAAACCCGCAGGGGCAAACGGGTTTTCGCGGAGGGATTCGGCCGATGTCTTCCCGTCAATTCACAATGCCTCCGCTTGCATGCCGAATCTGGCAGTGCAGATTCAAATGAACATCGAATTTTTGGATTTGAACGTTGCGGCATCCCGCTATATAGCCGAGGCGTGTTTTCGCGAGAGTGGAAGGGCGAAATAATGTGATTCGGGTCTGGTAGCTCTCGATGCACTGACACGTGGTGACACTGACGGTTATCTAATGTGGACGGTGGCACTAATGCTTGCTGGCGCGGATCTAGCTGTTGGCGAACAGGACGTAACGACTATATTCAGCTTCAGTTATGAGTGGGAGTGAAAAGCGGGGATGTTAGTGTGGAGGAAAAGGGTGACAGGGTATTGTGATGTTTGCGTTGGCACTTCTAGCAGTTACCATCCAGTTGTTCGCAAAACTCTGAACTCGCTCACGAAACGAGTTGTTCCCTGAACCCTCTGTTGGAGCCATAATTTGCAAGTCCCCGTGTCGTTCTCAGTTCATCCGAGCACGTGCTTTGAGCGAGGCACAACGCCAGTGCCAGTGTTTTTCCCTCAACCGATACGGATTTGCTAAGGGCGCGTGACTTTTTAAATTTAGGCCAAAGTTCATGTCTTTTAGTCGAATTTTTGCAATTGAACACAGGTCGACCTGTAGTCGACTATCTCGTCATTTCATTGTCGAGTCGCGTGTTCACCTTGACGTGGAGCACATGGCACAAGAAATGCTCGACTTTCAAAGGTCGAATTTGTACAGTGAAATCCGAGTCGCGCGAAGTTTCCTTGGTTACCCTGTCTATACAGTGAAGTTCGTTAGCACTTTCAACTCGGGTAACCTGGCGCGACTTGGTTCGTAACTATCGCGAATCTCGCAGCTTCTTCGTGCGTGGGCAGAAGAACACACGATTGGAGAAACGTGCTCGGGGATAGTCGAATGCGAGGTCGACCCTAGTTCAGTGTCCTTCTGTTTCAGCAACTTTGAGCTTGGACACACGTTCGTCGTCAATAGCTCTGTACGAAATTGGCGAAGCTGGTGTGAATCAAGAAAACAGGAATGAGAATGACTAAGTGAAAGTTGGGTACAAAAGGCAAACCCTAGGCAACTGTACCCCATATGTGCTACCCCACTATAGCCTACAGTAGCTATGTCATATAACTCTGACACACCCCCATAGGCAAAGTGGGGGAGAACAAGGGGTCACAAGACCAGTCAAGCAAAGCAAAGCAAGCTCAGGGTGGATCACAAAGTCACCACACATTCCGAGCACAAGTTCAAGGCCACAAGGCCAGTTCACATGCAGGATTACATATATATATAAGGCTAGACAAGCAAGAGCAGGAGTATATATATATGCAACAGTACAAACAAGGTCAAGAGGTGAGCAAGTGAGGCAAGGTAGGTACAAGACCCAGCTGAGTACAGAAGCGCTGATGATCACAAGGCGCAAGTGCCTTGGTGAAGATATCAGCAGTGTTGGCCTCAGAGGCCACGTACGCAAGTCGCAGCTGACCACGCTGCTGTAGCTCACGAGCAAGGAAGTAGCGAAGAGCAATGTGCTTCGTTCTGTGCTCCAGTCTCTGCTCTCGACACAAGGCCAGCATGGCCTTGTTGTCTACGTAGAGCACTGGAGGAGAACGAGGCGGCTCTCCGAGGTCAGTCAGCAGGTAGGTGAGCCAGCGAAGCTCCTGTGCAGCCATGGCCCCGGCGTAGATCTCAGCCTCACAACTGGAGCCGAGAACAGAAGACGAACGAGTAGCCCGCCACGAAACAGAGCCGGAACCAAGGCTGAAGGTGTAACCCTGTGACGACCGCTGCGTAGCCTGGTCGTCAGCCCAAGAAGCGTCTGCGTGTCCAGTGAGGACCACTGGACTCTGCCCTCCAAGCACAAGCCCCATGCCCAACGTACTGCACAAGTAGCGCAACACCCTCTTCGCTGCAGCCATGTGCTCCGGTCTGTGTCTCCCAGGAGCAACATAGCGTGCAAGAATGCTAAGAGAGTATGCAAGGTCAGGTCGTGTGCAGGTCATCAGGTACATGAGGCAGCCAACAAGCTCTGGGTACGGGCCACTCGACTCTACGGACTCATCCGAAGGCAGAGCTGAGAGCGAGTGGCGAGTAGGCAGAGGAGTGGCCTGAGGCGAGGAGTACGTGAAGCCGAAGCGCTGAAGGACCTGCTGCACCATGTGTGACTGAGTCAAGGTAATGGTGCGGCGTGCTCTGTCCCGGGTGATCTGCAAGCCAAGGTAGCTGCGCAGTTCACCCAGGTCTGTGCACGTGTGTCTCTTCTGCAGCTCGGACTTCACGTGGGCGAGTCCAGCAGTGTCAGCTGTGGCAAAGACCAAGTCGTCGACGTACACGAGGATGTAGAACGGCTGCAAAGAAGTGTCGGTGCGCAGAAACAGCGACGGGTCGGCAGTAGAGGGAGCAAACCCAAGAGCCGCAAGTGTAGTCCTCAGTGTGTCGTGCCACTCACGCGGTGCCTGGCGGAGACCGTAGACTGGCCGCCGGAGGCTCCACTGGGTGCCACGAGGAAAAGACCCAGCGAAGCCAGGTGGGCGACGCAGCCAGATCTCCTCGTGCAGGCTGCCCTGCAAGAAAGCAGTGCTGAAGTCAAGAGAGTGCAGCTCGTAGTCGCGGTGAGCAGCTATGTGCAGCAGTACCCGAAGAGTGGTCATCTTCGGGGTGGGAGAGAAGGTCTGAAAGTAGTCAACTCCCTGCCGCTGACTGAAGCCACGAGCCACGTAACGCGCCTTGAAGACAGGCGGAGAACCCGGCGGCCGCTTCACCCTGAAAATCCACATGCCACTGACGATGTTCGCCCCAGGCGGGGGAACCTCGTCAACGTAGGTGCCTGTGGACTTCCAGGAAGCCATCTCTGCGTCCATAGCTGCCTGCCACTGAGAGGAGTAGGGACCCTCTATCGCCTCCGCGTAAGAGCGCGGAGTCGGGATGTCAAGTGCATCCGGGTCTCCCTCAGGGGTAAGCAGTACGGACACGAGATGAGGTGAAGCAGCAGCCAAACACTGGAACTCCTCCTGCCTGTCCTCAAGGACGTCCGTGCCAAGGGCACACTCACCCCCGACGGACGGAGGACAGACAGACTCAGACTCAGCAACAAGACTAGCAGCGTAGTCTAGACGACAGCGAGCAGCAAAGTCGACGAGCTCAGTAACT